TTCCGATCCGTTTTTGCACAAAAACCTCTTTCTGCGCAACATCCTTATACATCTTGTCATGGCTCCTTCCTCACTCTGGCATGATAAATGCAGAAGTGGGGCCCAGCAAGTGTACCCCAAAACCTTATCTATCAGGCTTTGGTATAAAACTTCCCCCCAAAATCTTAAAAAGCTAGATGTTGGGAATAAAACTTCCACTGCCACCACCCAAATATTAATAAGGATATCAGGGGAAAGATCATTTGGAAAATCTCACCCCTAAAGTAAAAATCAGGACCCACAATTAACCAATACCAGGTTAATAAAAAGAAAAGAGAAAGAATTTTTATTATCACCACAATATTCCTGTTGCAAGTATAATGACTAGATGGAAAGGTAAGAAAATATACTCAGGGAGAACTTCATGGGCCTAGAACTTAGTTACAAAGAAAAGCCAAAACATCTTTTAAAAAGTGCACAGACGTCAGATCCCATACCGAAACCACAAACAATCAAATCTAACGGATTTATCTAAACTTTACCCTACTTACAGAAAGTGAAGAATTGTTGGAGAGAGAGACATGTCTGTCTCCCTCAGAAGCTGGAGGGAACTCCCCAGAGACAAAGGAGAGGGAAAAACCAAAAATTCCTTTGTCCCACTTTGAAATTCCTACCTACATTCCTGTTGGCCACTCCACCTGGCTAGGTAAGGGGCATAGTTAACTCCTTAGTCCCCAGGCTGCTGGCTAACCCTCAGAATCATGACACCTCTAAAATGAGGTTTTGCGGAAAACATCCACGTTCACACTGCTTGGTTTTGTGCAGGTCCCCACCTTGATCCTGGCGGCGAGCTGGGTCCCGGTGAGCGGCTCCCCCCACTGGTCCCTCCAGACGTGTCTCCCGGCCGAGCCCACCAGAGCGGTGACGTAGTCCCTCAGGCCCTCCCGGAAATCCTCGTCCATGTCTGCCGGGGGGAGATGGACAATGAACTCGGGGCCAAGCGTCCTCCCCCACAACTCGGGAGAGACAGAGACGCCCCGTGGGGCAGGCCCAGAGCCGCTCTCCCAGCCCGTTACCTCTCAGGGCTCCCACGCTGCCAGTCAAGATCCGCTTGCCAGGGCAGGGCATCAGGTAACAGCGG